GATGGTCCGTTGAAGAGGACAAAAAATTGTGTATTGCTTGGTTGAACACAAGCCGGGATCCCATCGTCGGAAACGGACAGAAGGCATCGACGTTCTGGGAACGAATCCACAACACCCTCTCCGAACTCATTACCGAGTACAATGAAGAGAAGAAAAATTCTAAAGGGTTCAAGGAACTTCCGCTACGACCGGTTGGTGTGGTCGAATGTCGCTGGGCACTCATCATGAAGTTGGTCAACAAATTTTCTGGATGCTATGCAAATGTTGAACGGCGCATGAAAAGCGGCAAGACTCGCGAAGATATGGTACGTTTTTTTTTATCTTACTTGCTCTTATATATATTATATATATATATATATACTAATACACAAGAAAATCACAAAGCTTACCGAGGCCAAAGAATTATACAAGGCAACCTTCGAATCGTCATTCAATCTCGACCATTGCTGGGGAATCTTGAAGGACACCCCGAAATGGCAGGCGACTCAGCAAGAAAACGAAGCTCGAAACAAAAAAGGCAAGCAATCTGGGGCAGCCCCCCCTTCTTCTGATATCCCCAGCTCTACGCCTGCGACCTCGGCTATTGAAGTTGAAGATGAGGAGTCCGAAGCGAGTCGATCGGTCCTGGGGAATAGTCGTTCCGAAGGTCAAAAAGCAGCCAAGCGCAAACGAACGGAGGAGATCTCACTCGATAAGCTTGTTTCAATGCAGAAAGATCTCATTGAAATCTCGCGCGATCGGTTGTCATCGATGAAGGCTGCCGCACAATCTACGTCGGACGATGCGATTATGTCAAAAGATCTCACCTTGCTTGACACAGAGAGTCGTGCATACTATCAAAGGAAGAAAAGGGCGATCATTGCCCGCGAGTTGCAAGAAGAGAAGGAGAGGGAAGAAAAAGAGAAAAAAGAAAAGGAAAAGAAAGAGAAAGAGAAAACTGAAAAAGAAAGAAAGGCGAAAGAGGAAAAGGAGAGACAGGCGAAAGAGGAACAGAACCAAAAAGAGACCGGGAACGATGCGGACGAGGATGAAGATGTCGATGAGGACGATGATGAGGAGGTTGAACAGGATGAAAACGAGGAGGAGGAGGAGGTTGTTGAATGTGAAGAATAATCGGATCGTTCTTTTTTTTTTTCTTTTGATTATCAGATCGTTTCTCTCCTTTAGTCAGATGCAGTTGTTTTCTCTCATCTTTCTAGGATGGATTGATCGATAACTCAATATTTCATTTGCCTTCCCTTTTGTTTCCACTGTCCACCAATGATTGTCTTGCTTGTTTGAACAAACTGGAAAATAATCAAGGGAAACCAATAAATTGAAATTGCAAGTGATAAATAAAAAAAATAAAAAAAAGTAAAAAACAATAAAGTGACCCTGCAAGCGAGAAAAAAAATTTAAGGGACATTATAAGCGAGAAAAAAACGACAAGAAAGATTAAAATAAAGAAGAAGAAGAGATATTGTAAGCAAGAAAAAAACAACAAGCAAGATTAAAATAAAGGAGAAGTGAGAATGACAATGCAAAGAACATTCAAGCAGTTGAAGACCGCGGGGAATTGTCCTCATCGGATCCGTGCTTGTTCCACAGGTGATCTATGAGATCACTTTTGAGACGCGTGTGTGATGTGTGATCTCGGATGGACTGGTATTTGAGCAAGAATTGTTCAAACGACGAGTCGTTTGGTCCGTTGGTTGTCACTGATGCCTGTGTTCGTGCTGTTTGATGGTAGGTGTAATCACCATCAAAATCGCTTCCAGATTCGTCTTCAATCGTCATGTTGTGCAGAATAATGACAGCTGACATGATATCGGAGAGATTCTCGTGTCGCCAAAATCGACCAGGAAAACGAATGATTGCATATCGAGATTGTAGAACCCCAAAAGCTCGTTCGACATCTTTGCGGTACGACTCTTGCATCTTTGCAAAATGTTTCTTCTTTGCGCCTTGTGGTTCAGAGATTGATTGGATGAGTGTTGCATATGGCGGGTAAATGCCATCGGTGAGATAGTACGCAAGATTATATTGATTTTCGTTGACTTTATACGAGATTGAGAGTCCTTCGCCTTCTTGAAGATGTTCAAATATTGGGGATCGATCTAAAATGTTGATATCGTTCAGAGTACCTGGAAGTCCAAAGAACGCGTGCCATATCCAGAGGTCGTAGGAGGCGATTGCTTCGAGAACTACTGTCGGCTCTTTTTCTTTACCGGTATATTGTCCGTGATCGGCAACTGGGCAATTCTTCCAGCACCAGTGCATGCAATCGAGGGACCCCATCATGCCAGGAAAGCCTCGTTCTTCAGCAACCGCCAGGAGCCTCTTTGCATCGCTTTCATTCGGCTTTCTTAAGTACTCGTTGCTGTACACTTTCACTATAGTTTGACAAAATTTTTTTAAACATTCAATCGCAGTCGATTCACCTTTTTTGAAATCAAGCATAATCAGATTTGTGTTATACTTAATCTTACAAAAATTCAGGAGTCACACTTACTCATACGAAGATACTCATCGATGGAGTCCCCACTGCATCCGTATGCCAGCATTCGTATAGCAGCCGTTGCTTTTTGAAGAGTTGAGAATCCTAATCTTCCTGCTGCATCGCGCTTCTGTACAAAATAATCATCGGCTTGTTCGATATCTTCAACAATTCGTAAAAAAAGGCTTCTGCGCATCCGAAATCGGCGCCGGAAGAGATAATCGGGATACACAGGTTCCTCGGAGAAATAATCGTCGAACAGTTGCTGGTGTCCCTGTAGTCGGTTCCGGTGAATTTCTCTTCGGCCAGGTGTAGATCCACCACGTTTCTTTTTCTCTTTTGTCTTCAAGATCAAGCCGATTGTCGTTTGAATGGAAGCAAGGAGATCGTCATCGTCGTCCATCCATTGGAGGATGTCGTCCATGGTGCCGAAATTAATTGAAGTTGGGGGGGAGGATTGGTTGCTAGAGTTGGGGTGTTCATGCGATACATAGCCATGAAGAGCCAGTCCATAATTGGAGCTGACCCGCGGACTGTGTGAAATGTGATCGCGGGCCGGGGAACGCGCGTCACTGCCCTCGGACCGTTAGAGATGCTCTAAGAGCATCTCTAACGGTCTGGGGGTGGATCGGCTCGCCTTCGGCGGCCTGGAGTCAGATGTCCCGAGATGTCCCCTGCTTGTCACAGTTGTCCTAAATGCCGGACTGTGAAGTTGAGCGGGGGTGGGTGAAACGCAGCCAAAGCTGCCAAACTCAGCAGCCGAGGGCACCTTTGGTCCACCCCCGCGATGTTCAGCAGCTCGCTCGGCAGCTCCACTAGCGACCAAAAGAGCCTCGCGGCCCGCTGAAGTCGGTCCCAGGTCCCGCATCAGCAGGACCGTTGGAGATGCTCTAAGTGTGGGCGCGGGTCAGGGGACAGGACAACCCCCCCCCACCCCGAGCACACGCTTACACCTAGAGAGACTTGATGTTGAATGGACCAGAAATTCCCCTGATTTCCCCAAAGAATGGGAGTTGATCCCCCAAACCCATCAGCAGGTTCAGGAGTCAGATCCCCAGGATTTTTGAATAAAAAAACAATACCCCCAAAGGGGTTGAGAGTCAATTCCCCAAAAACCACTGGGTTTTGGGGTCAGAGAACCATAAACAGCCCTCAACTCCTGAGGGCTAGGAGGATTCCTCCCTCCCGGCTGCTGATGGCACAGCCTTGACGGCCAAGAGAAACCCTCCTGCCCATCAAGGTCCCGCATCAGCTGGACTGTTGGAGATGCTCTTATAATGTAGTGGTCACAGGTGGACAGGCCACCCAAGGGCCAAAATAAAAAGATGATGACAACAAGTTCCAAACACAATTCAAAAAAATTCCAAAAAAAAAACTCTGAAGCTATTCATAATAGCTGCCTAATTCATGCTTGAGGAATATGCCCAACACCACAAAAATTCATACTTGACATGAATTCCCTATTACCTGTGCATTGGCAGTCCATCCAGATTTTAACCCACATGGTCAGCCCTCCACAATCCTCTGGGACCAATGGGGACTGTTTCAGAGCTGGAAACCATTGACTATATTTACCATTGCTTACATACTGGCAGTTGGTAGTTGGAAACTTTGCTGAGTTGCCCAAGACCTTGGTAAACCTTGTCTCCTACATATAAGGTTCCATGTGCTTCACTGGTATCTACAGAAAGGGCCACATGGCAGCCTCGAGCCTCTGATGTAATTATGTTTTGATAGATAGTCACAAGCAATGATGTAGGGATTCGCAGAGGTGGAGTGTCTCTACCTGCCATTGGCCACCTGGTTTTTAATACATTTGTGGCAAATGAAACAACAGGTACATAATAATCTTGTTTCTATGTATGCCTAGGTAGCATTCGCAACTTGGGCACCTTTCAGTTTCACTGTTGCCTTCGAGATCATTGCCACCTTCGCTGCACCACACGGAGAGCCTCGCAGAGCCACAAACCTTCCAGAGCGGGTTGCCATCACCAAATCATTGCTGGCTGAGTCATCGATAATTCTCGCACGTAATGTTCTATGTATCAGACTACTGTACACACACCACCACAGCCCGCCTTTTCCTAGCACGCAAGTTTGGAAGTGGCTGTATCACTGGATCCAAGCTTCTGTTTTATTCCTTGGAGAGTTTGCTTTTCTATGCCAAGGTCCCCTTGACTTGTGTTGATTTCGTGCCTTGAAAACACACCGGCTGGATCTGCGATGACTAGACCCTTCAAACATCTTCAATCATTATTGTAACTGCGAATGCAACTAGGACTTGAACCTTTTAGCTTTGACTCCCTTGAAGAAATTCAAGCACTCCGAATTGTCGTTGACGAGTCGATTTCCCTTCCGCAAAATTTTGGCTTTTCGTACCCCATCGCCGCCAAGTCTGTTAAGTGACACCCTTTCAAATCAGGCCTCTAGTGTTTGACTCACGCAATCGAATATCCTTGTTGCAGGCGACTCTCCAGGTTTGGTTGTTGAACCATCTTTAAACAAATAGTCTTGCAGATTCAACATGTGCATTATATCATATTGGTGGTCACAAGCTCGAGTTGCTTCATGGCGATCTCCCCCCTCATCCATCAGTTCTCCAGCCATTCTACCTCGTGAGAAGAGTCAAGATTCAGTCACAAGACACGATGAAGCATTTGCCGTGAGGAAACGGAAAAGTGATGAAACGCTTCGACCGGTGTTGATGGACGATGGCAGTCATCCTTACTTTCCGGGCACACCATGGAACGAGCTGGAACTGGCCGGCACTATCGATGTCAGTCACCAACCTCGACCTAGACGCTTGAAACTACGTGGTTTCTGCAAACAAATCTCACTGCTCAAGTCATAGGATGCAATTAATGCACCATATGAGTTTACAGAAGATCATACTTAATTCCTGGATTCTGCACAAGTGTTTCAAGCAGATGATGATTAATAAACTATTTAATTATTACAGAAAATTTATAATATCTACTATGCTTTAAGAAGTTTTGAGAACAGATTCAACTCCAGACAACCCACCTTGAAGTGATACAAGTGCCATGGAACCTTGAATAATTAGTTTGCAAGGTGTTTATCAGTTGATTTCTCCAGCTTCTCCCTTGTAATAAAAATATTCACCAATCTCAGGAATGACAGATTGTAAAATGGTCTGTGAGTAATAGTTGGATCCTGTGACCTATTAGCAAGAATATCATAATAAAGATGTGCTAGAGAAAAGTTGTGTTTTGCAATCTCTATAAATTTTCCCTCTTCTGGTATCTTTTTATCTTGATCCTTGTCATCTGAAATCTAGGAATCTTGATTTGTAATTGATATCAATGCTACTGCACACAACAATGGGAAGTTACTGCAATTTACTATCTCTGACACATCTGAATATAGTAACTATAGTAATAACTACCCAGAATTACAGGATAAATCAATATTGTTATTTTGCGGAAAAACAAATCAGCTCGGAAGATATAGTAACCAGTGTGGAACTTTTCAAGCTAAATAAAAGAGCTTAGAGGGGAAAAGAACAACTACACCGGGTAAATGTGAGTTGACGACTTGGATGCTGATGAAGCTGCCCTCTTGTCAAGGCTTGGGAGAGAGTTACACTAAGAATTGAAGAAAATGTGTGGCTATTTCTGAGGGTAATCTTAGTGTGAGATTTATTACTGATGTCTTGTACAAGGCACCTGCTGAGAGATTGAGGATGTGGGGAATTTTGCTAGGATTTCCTTCCGGTCATGTGAAAGCAAATCCTAAATCCCCTCAAGCATGAGGAGTGGTTTGGGGAGCCGACTCCCAAAAAATTGAAAAAAATAAATAAATAAAATATAACATCAATGGATCAATCAATGGATGGCCCACCCCCAAAGTTGGCCAATGATTTGGAAAAACAACTCCCAAGCAATGTCCAACAACCATATTTGGGAGGTTTTTCCAACCCCCTATTATTTAATGGGTGTGGTTGAGACTGACCTCCTTGTCTAGCTTGTGGGTGAGTTAACTCTCTGGTCTGTGAAGACTATATCTGGATCTCTGGTTTAATCTGGTTTCTTCATAATGTGAGTCTTTATTTCTCAAATATCTTTTGATAAGGGATTGGGGAGCTTTAAATAATATCTTTATTATTCATCTGGTTTCAATGTAAGGGTGTGAAGAGGGTTAAGTAATATTCTTTTTTGCTATTCTATATCTGATATGTAAGGGTTGATGAAATATAAATAAGTTCTCTACTTATTTCTCTGGTGCAGTCATGTAAGGGGGTTGATGAATGCTAGAGATGTCAGCAGGTACCCGGAAACGGGTTCCAGGTGCGGGTGTCAACATAAGGCAGGTACCCTAACCCAGGTACCGCCCTCACACCCACCCTAGGAATGCTTCCCCTGAAGAATTTGATTTTTCATTGGCGGTCCAACACTCCCTTTTTTGGGTGTGTTGGGCTGCACAAAGTTGTCAGCAACCCATGTAGGGCACCAGCTGGTGTCCTATACGGTTTTCTGAACTAATCTGGTTGCTTTGTTGAGGCCGGAGGGAACCCTCCGGCCTTTTGAACAGACAGTGTACAGTCTTGATGACTGGAGGAATCTCTTCAGTCATTGAGAACAGTCTACAGTCTTGACAACTGGTAGGTATCC